CATAAGTGAGAAGGAGACATCCAGGCGGTGGCGGTGCTGACGGCAGGAGGGAGAGCCGGCCTCCCGCCAGGTGGCTCTGTCACTGTTCCGAGCAGGGCTCGTCCCTTGCCCTGTCTCCAGTGTCGGGGCTGGAAGAGAACCATGGGGTAGAGGGACAAGGGACTTGGGAGGAGCCGCGAGGCACAGGAGCCGAGTGGAGGGGATGGGCTGCACTTCTGGGCGGGGTGCAGCAGTGCCTTCTCCTCACGCCCCTCAGGGAGTTGGTCCCGCAGGGGCGGGGCATCTGTCCCCTTGCCAAGCCCAGGACGGGGTCAGCCGGGCTGTGTGTCCTACGGGGGCGGGAAGTGAGAGGCACAGGCAGCAGTGGAGGATGCCCACCCCGCCTTGCCACCAGGACTCGTCCACTCGGGGCTCCTCCCCAGCTGCTTCCCAGTGAATTGGAAACGCGCCTTGCACCGGTCGGAAAGGCCCAGAGCATATCCATTTCCATCTCCGTAACAAGCTTGGATCAGGGGCCTAATTGGCTTCCCAGTGGTGGGTAATTTCTCGTCTCAATATTAATCTGTTGTTTTCCTGGCACCGGGCCCGGACCGCACAGCACTGTCCTCCAAGCGTGTTCCTATGCAACCACAGCGCAGCACATACTTCACAAGCTTCCCGGCCTGGGCCCAGCAGCTATGCACATGCACTTTTCCTTTGGAGCGGGCTGATGTGAAGATAAGAACTGCCTCTCCCAGAGAAGATCCATCTCACCTGTAGCGCCAAAGCTCTGTGCCCAGAGGGGTTGGGCACCCTGTGCTCCTGGGCTTGGCTCTCGGCCCCAGAACCAGTGGTGCCGCTTCAGAGGGAGCCCCGGCCTCCTGTCCCACAGGGCGAGGGCAACAGACTTGCCCGGGAGCCGGGGCGAGCACCACACACGCTGCCCTCAGAGCCAAGCCGACGTTTATAATGGTTGTATGCACCATGCCATGTAGGAGAGAAAAAAGCTGTACAGGCATTAACTCTAAAATAAATTTCTATTTTTTCTCTTGCAAAATCAATAAAAGATGTTATTGGGAATAGAATCTGGTGCGCTGGATTTGGGGTCAGACCGCGAGCCGCCTGAGGCCGGCTGCACAGTTCAGGCTCTGAGCTCCCTCCGCACCTGCAGGCGGGTCGGGTCCCTGGCCAGCCCACTCCGTGGAGTCCCATCGTGCCCTCAGTAGACACATAAGTGGAGCCCGTACGAATATGTGAACCCTCCGGGCAGGCTCTGGCGTTGCCCTCACCACATGAGAGAGGTCGTGTAACTTCCTGGGACACACAGCTTTGGAAGCTGCTGGTCCATGTGCAGATTGTAAGACACCCATCAAGTAGCTGGGGCCGGGCAGGGGTGTGTGTGTGTGCGTCTGAAAATCCTGGGAGTCTTTGGCCTTGGATTCGCCTTCATCACACGTGGATCCTGGGGCACCATCCCCCAAGAGGCCTGATTCCTGGGCTCCTCCCTCCTGCTCCCCTCTTCCCTGCTTCCTTCAGGTAGTGGGGGTGGGCCCTGGGTTCTGGGTGAGGCAGCCCTGGAGCCAGAAAACGATGCAGTTGGCCAGTGGGGGTCCAGGCCGCAGGCAGGAGGGCTCTGCACGTGGCACATCCTGCCTCTGTGCTGGTGGGGAGGGCCCCTGTCTGGAGGGAGCTGTGCCCCTTCCCAGACCCCTCCAAGTGTTGAGGAGGCAGGGCCTGCTGTGCCCTCCCTGGAGTTGGTGGTGCCCCGGGGGCCCTGGGGGCTCAGGAAGGGCCCAGCCAGGGCCTCTGCACCTCAACCCTGGCGAGGCCTTGCTGGGTCCCCATTCCTCAGGGCCAGGCCAGCCGTGTCGGGGAGCAAAGCTGGCCTGCTGGAACCGGGGCGCCAGGACAGCCTCAGCGCCTGCCGTCCCGAGGAGCCACATTCTCGAGGGCATTAGGGAAGCCAGGTGCCCAGCTATTTTTCATGTGAATGCAACGGTGCACCGTTGCCTCAACTCAAGCAAACAGACAGCCAAGCGCCAGCGTCCGCAAGGAGAGGGATAGAACATCAGGGGTGGCCCTTGGGTCGTGGGGTAGCGGTCTGGCTCAGCTGTTGCGGGGAGCTCTCCCTCGGTCCTGCGCTTCCCACCCTGTGCGTCCCACCCCGAGTCTGTGACCCCAGGCTGCAGCGTGGCTGGCGGGCTTGGAAAGAGCAGGGAGGGCTCCCAGGAGCGCCAGGCCTGGGCCCCTCGGATGCCCGCTGTCCTGCAGTGGGGAGGACCAGCCCCCCTCGGTCGCAGACTCTCTGTCGCCCCCACGGAAGGCCCAGACCAGAAGGGCCCAGCCTGCAAGTGCGTCCCTCCCCCACCTCACCCCCCAGCAGTGGTGCCTCAGGCCTGGGGTGGGGGGCCCAGCCTGGAGGCTCAGCCTGGGGACTGCGTCTAGACCACCTTTAAATCTTTTCAATTAGTTGCCTTCCCGTCCCATTGGGGTTCAGGCTGCAGTTCAGACTCCCAGCTTCTCTGGGCAGGAACAGAGGCCAGGTGGGGACAGTGCTGCAGGCCCTGGAAATCAGGCCGGGTGGGGCACCCAGAGAGGTCCGGCCCCAGGACTCCACCTCAGGCGTCCAGCCAGCGACACCACTGAGCTGGGCCGGGCGGCAGGGCGAGGCCTGCCTGTGCTGTCTCCAGGCCCCAGAGGTGGCCCTGATGGTGCGGGTGAGTCCCGGTGTTTGCCACAGCATTGCTCACCTGCCCGCCTCTCATTCTGCGACAGTGACAACCGAGCTCTAACAGCCAGCACACAGGACACCCTCAGCCCACAGAGCTCATGGGCCTGTAGCCGAGGACATGGTCCTGGGGCCGCGCGCCCCTGCAGCCAGCTCCCCACGCCCTGGCTGTGGCCTCGTGAGCGGCTTTAGCACCGGCCTGGACTGCCTGGCCCGCTCTGTGGACTGTGGTGGGCGCCGTGCACCTCACCCTGGACTGCACCCCTCAGGCTGTGGGGGTGGGGGGTGCTCCTTGTCTCCCCTCACTGCCCAGACAGTGGTAGCTCTCCTAGGACAAGGTAGCTCTCCCTCCCACTCCCGGCCTCCTGGAAGCTCCCAGGCTCAGCTGATGGCCCGGGAAGGGCACTGGCCTTAAAGCCAGCTTCCCATGGGCTGAGTGCAGGCCACCCCACACCCCTGGGCCTCCCCACCCGGCAGCCTGCACCCTGCCCCCGAAGTTCCCTGGGGGCTAGAGGGTGGGTGTCCTGGCCCCACCCCCTTGGCCCCTCCCAGGCCCTCACTCCCTGCGTCCCCCCAGCCACTCCCCTGCCAGGCCACAGCCAGCGGCTGGGCACCACCTCCTCTAAGGCAGAGGCCCGGCAGCGTCGCCCTAAGTGAAAGGAGGCCCGCAGACGATAGCAGGGACTTGGCGCCGAGCAGGCCTGGGACAGCAGGGCCTGGTGTCTGGCCCTGTCTGGTCCTGGGAGACCCCAGGTGCAGGGGGTGGCTTTTCTTCACAGCTCATGGTCCCTGCCCTGCAGCCGAGCCACTGCCATGCCTGGGTGGCCGCCCACCAGCTCTGCACCCCTTGGTCCCAGCCCTGCCCTCAGATGGGGCCAGCTCAGCCCCGGCCCTGCAGCCGTGCCTCCGGCCCACACGTGCTCGTGTTGGGGGCAGGCACAGCCTGTGCTTGTGGGCCTCAGAGGCTCCAGCCCCTGAGCTCCACGTACCCTTGTGTCCTGCAGGCGCTTCTGTGCAGAAGCCTTCTTCGTCCGGACCCTGGACCGCAGCTGAGGCCCCCAGCCTCTCCCTCCGGGGCTCCTCAGCAGCCCCCTGGCTAGCCCACCACTCCTCGTGTCTGTCTTCCACAGCCAGGAGAGCCCAAGTGCAGCCCGCTGTGCGCAGCCCTGCTGACTCCACTGAGCCCGAGGTGAAGGACACGGCCCTGCCGCCCACGAGGCCCCATGCTCAGACCCAGGCGAGCGCAGCGGCAGCTCTCCTGTCCCCACCCCAGCTCCTGCATGGCGCACGGGGCTTCCTCCCACCCCAGGGCATCACACATGCTGCTCCTCCTGCCCACTCATTCCCTTGCTGCTCCTGCCTCAGCCTTCAGGTGCGGTGCAGTGGCCCTGTGTGGCAGAGGCACCCACTCCCCGCTCTCCTGGGGATGCTCCTCACTGCTCCATCGTTATTTTTTAGGCCCATGAGCACGGCGTCTGTCCACTGCAGTGGAGGAGACCCTGGGGGAAGGCAGATGTTTCTGGTTCCCATGGCAGCTCCTGTGCCCAGCTCAGCTCCTGGCACATGCCAGGCCTGGGTAACTACTTCCTGCAGAAGGAGCCACAGCTGGTCTGTGCTGGGTGCAGGACTCGAACCCAGGCCTGCCTGCACAGCCTGGGTGCTGTCTCGTGTGCTCACCTCCACCCTCTGCGGCTCGTCCCAGGGGCTGAGCCCCTGCCCGCCTCATCCTCAGGCCTGGCTGCTGAAGATAATGCCCATGAATCACGCTGACATTTCCATTACCCAGGGAGATGCCTGTGTGGCCTGGAGCGGGCTCATCACCGGCCCAGCCTGGAAGGAAGCCAGCCCCGTCGCTCAGGACAGCCGGGCAGGCCCAGGGCTTCGAGGTCCTTGGACCCGGGCCCAAGGCGATGCAAGCAGAGGGGGAGTGAGCCAGCACACCCGGCTCCACAGGCGCAGAGGCCCCACTCCTGCTGCACCGGCAGCCTGTGGGGTGTAGCGAGGCAGCCCGGGCTCCCCTGTGCATGGGGACCGGGTGTGCAGCCCAGCCGGGGACAGAGCTGGCCAGGCTGTCTGCGCCCCCTGCACCTGCGGGCCCCGGTGCTCTACCCTCTGCCCCTCTCCTGGCAGTGGCAGGAGGACGGTGGCCACTCAGGCGGCAGCTGGGATGCGCTTGCTGTTGCCTAGCCAGGGCCTCTTGCTGTGTCCAGCCTTCCCAGAAGGAGCCGGGAGCCCAGGCCCACATCCTCTCCCTCGCTCCCTGCTCGTGACAGTGGCCCTGTTCGAGGCGCCCACACCATCATGACAACCACGCGCACGAGTATTTATTTAATGTTTTCTTTACGCCAACTCTCTTTTTACTGAAATGCCTATTTTGGCTTCACCCTAAGCAGTAACGTCTGTGAATTCGGTGAGGTGCCTGTTACACGTTATTTTCTAATACACATTTACATAAACACAACTATTAAAATAGCTTAAAATTTTGCCTGTGTGTCAACTAAAGTCCTCTCCCAGACCTCCTGGGGCCCGTGTCGACTTCAGAAGGACCCTGGGCAGCGGCAAAGAGCTCTGAGAAGCCTGGCGAGGGGCTAGACCCCTACCACATCCTGCCCAGCCCGGGTCCAGGTGGCTCCTACCTGCCAGGGCCAGAGCCCGAGGTGGCCCTTTCAAGGCCTTCGTGACTGGCTCGGTCTCAGCCCCACCCAGACAGTCCTCAGTCCCACTGAGTTAATGAAAAGTGATCCACAAGTCACTCACTGGACCAAACAATGCAGAATGAATGCACGCACACACCGCCCGGTGTCCCCGGGAGCCTGAGACCTAAAACCTCCAAAGTCCCCATCTTTCTACCCTGCACCCAACCCTAACCTGGGGGCTCGGCCACTGTCCCCCTGCCATGCACCCCCTCCCACCGAGCACCAGAATCTGCCCGCCCGCCTGGTCCCCAGGGCCACTGTGCTAAGCCAGATCCCTCTCCTTAGCTTCCCGTGTGGCTGGGGCTCCTGCAAGCCTGGGGCCCCGCTCCCCAGGCCACTGCAGAACACCAGAGAAGCCTGTGTCACTGCCCGCACATCAGCCTGTTCACCTGCACCCCTTTAGGAGGGAGGCAGAGGCACAGTCCTCATGCAGTGGATGGGAAACTGAGGCACGGAGGGGTCTGAAGCAGGGGAGGTGGAATCTGAAGCAGTAGCCCGCCCCTGAGCAGGGCAGGTGGCGCTCTGCATGCAGAACTATAATCGCCTGTCTTATCACCTGGCCCACCCCTGAGTGCTCCTTTGCCCGTCTGTAGTGCCCGCCACAGTGCTGGGACAGAGGGAGCACCACGAATCTCATGATGGGAAGGGTGGGTGGTCAGATAAGAAGGCTGGGTGAAGGGTGGAGGCCTAACACACAGAAGGAGGCACCTGAAGGCTGCAGGATGGAGGAGTGGAGGTGGGTGATGGACAGACGGGCGGGCGGGTGGGTAGATGGATGACGGATGACGGATAAGTGAATGAGAACAGTTCTACTTGGTGGAAAGCTCTAGAAATCCTTCTGGGAAGGAAGGCTGGAGTCAGGCACCCTGGCTGGCACCCAGCTCTGCCCTTTGCCAGTTCTGTCGTCTGAGGCAAGTTTCCCCATCTCTGTTTCCGCTCTCATTTTTAAGATGGGAATCAGTCCAGCTTATGTAAAGGTGGCCTAGACACAGGGCAGTGTTCCCGTGGGGTCCCAGCCCAGGGTGTGGGTTGGGGCCCCTCTCTGCCCACCCTGGATCCAGGGCAGCACTGTCAGCCCGTGTCCATCCTGCCTGTCCCTTAGGCCCGGGCCGTACCACACATGGCTCTCACTTCCAGGGTCCGTGGTGACAGGGAGGACAAGGCAGCCACAGCCCAGAGCGGCCAGCTCCATACACTGCGAGAACACAGGTTCAACAAGCATTTATTGAGGCCCTGCTGTGGCCTCCTGCGGTGCCGGCCAGTGTTCCCTGCTCCTGAAGCCCCTGTCCCCACAGGGCCCTGCCCTTCTGAACACCTTCTCAGCTCCCTGGCTGGCTTGCAGGTGCCCAGCGTTTGGTGACCAGAGGCCAGTGACTTTCCTGGTGCCCCAGCTGCCCCCAGCAGGCCTCCAGTGAGGTGGTGGCCGGAGTTCCGGGCAGTCCCAAGTCCCCTGCGCAGCCCTGTGTGTTCCTCGGGCCTCTGGGCCCCACATGCAGGGCCCTGAGACCCAGGCCTCGTGGCAGGACAGGCCTAGCGTCTCCTCGGCTGACAGCGGAGTCCACCGCACACAGGCCGGCCTCCGGGGCACCAGACTGGTGGTCTTGTGGGAGGGGCTGGTGCCAGCTTCGGCCGGAGCTCTGGGGGCGGGGCTGGGTCTCCGTCACACCCAGTGCCCCAGGACCCAGCACTGGCGGTTCAGCTCCGGCGCCTCCTGGGCCGAAGTCCGGGGCCAGGAATCCGCCATGTGCAGCTGGTGTCCTGCAAGAGACAAGGTGGCCAGTGCTGAAACCCTTCTTCCACCCACAAGAGTGGCCTACAGCGCCCCGAGGCCCCAACCTCTCATCAGCACAGATGTAACAGGTCGCACCTGTGGGTGCCGGCTGCCGTCCATGGACAGACCTGCCTAAGGCCCCAGCACCCGCTCATGCTCCGCCCCTGCAGCCTCAGCCGCTCCGGCCCCTCCACCTCTGCCCGCTGGTGCCCGCTTTGGCGCTGCCCACCCTCCCACTGCCCCCGTGGCACATCCGCAGCCTCCTATACCCCTCCCACCCACCCCTGCTCCAAGCCGCCCCAGCCCAGCACCCCCGCACCCCTACGCCGGGCCCCGGGCCCCCGCCCACCGCAGCTGTCCGGCCGGGCCGCTCCCAACCGCCCTGCCTCCCGCTGCCTGCCCGTCACTGCCCGCTCCGCTCCGCTCCGCGCTAATGCGCCCCTGCTCCCCTTCCGTCCCGGGCCCCCAGCCCAGCCTTCCTGGGCCGTCTCTGCACCAGCCCGCCCGCCCCTGCAGCCAGCCCCTAGCTCCCTCTGGGCCTGGAGGAGCCTGGGGGTCGCCAGGAGCGGGAGCCGGGACGCCCTGCCCACGGTCCGGCTCACTGCAGGCAGCGCCGTGTGCTGAGGCAGGCACGGGCCACTGCCCACGGCTCTCAGAGCGGGCCCAGGGCCAGCTGGAGAGGCTGAGGCTTTGACTGTGCTGCCCGCTCCGCTCCGCTCCGATCCCCCGAAGACCAGTCCTCCACCCTCCACAAGGGTCTCTGAGGGCTCCCTAGCACGCCGGGACCCCACCCACGGGCCCCGCCTAACCCTCAGGAGCCCAGCGGGGGCGGGGGGCGCCTCTTCCCACCCCAGGGGTCTCCCTCATCTCACTCCCTCCCCGGGAGAGGGCGCCGTGGGGAGCGCAGGGCTGGGACAGGAAGCGGGAACTGGGCCCTCGCACTGGGGCTTCCTGTCAGTCCAGGCCTTGCCTACAAGGTGGGGTCTCCCCGTGCTACAGGTGGGAGCCAAGGCCAGCGAGGCGAAGCCGCCGCCGCCTTAGGGTTCGAAGCTGCTGGGGGGCCAGATGGAAGCACTTCTTCCTGATTCCAGCCCTCAGCATTAGAGAATCTGTTCCAGGTCGTTTGTGTTGCGGCTCTGAGTGGTAATGGATGCTCATCTCACAAGGTCAGCCAGGCTCTGGCAGAAAGCCCACTGCGGAGGGAGTTCCCCGGGAGCCCAAGCTTCTGCTCGCACACCTCGAGGGACGGGCAGCTCACTGCTCTTCCTCAGCCCCAAGCAGCCTGGGTGTTGGGAGATTCTCCCCAGCAAGGAGGGCTGGGAGGGGAGCTGAGGCGGAAAACGGCGCTGCCGAAGGCAGAGCACGTGCGGTGCGTGTTGTGACTTTTTCCCTTTGGCTTTTTTCTCCTTTTTAATATTCTTCAATGTTTGTATTTTGCAAATTTCACTGTATTTTTAAGGAGCAGGAATCATTTTGCAGACATTCTGGAATCATTTGGCCTGGCGGGAAGCACTTCTTTTGGCCCGGGCTACTGACACAGTTGCCATCTACGGAAGGGCTGGCTGTCAAGATAAAGGTGCTCGGGATTTTAAAATTGAGAAGCAAATGTTTGGTGCATAGAAAGGTTGGATTGTTTTTCTAAATGAATATTTAGAAGTGATCATAGCTGCTCTTACAGTCGCCAACAGGCAGAATGTGAGGGTTTATTAGAACAGGGAGAAAGCGATTTTTCTGTAGGAAAAAGAAAAGCCAGGATGCCGGTCCTTCCCTGAGTTAAATCAGACTCTGTCCCCCGGACCAGAGACCGGGTCAGTGAGGACTGGGTTTCTCCTCCCCGCTTGGCCTCTCATAAGCGGCTTGGGGCCCAGAGCCATTGACTGAGTCCCCACCTGCCCACCAGGAAGCGGCACTCCCTTCCCTACCCCTCCATTCTACTCTGAGGCCGACCCCAGCTGAAGAGAAGGCCTGTGCTGTGTCCGGGGGTCCCAGCTCCAAGTCCCCTGGGCTGAAGCAAATCGAGTGAAGGGGACAGGGCCAGAGGCCGCTCCTCTGCTCCAGCCAGTGTCACCTCAGGGAGCATGCACTCAGATCTCCCAAAAAGTTCAGCAACACTAAAAATCCAGATTTCAAAATAAAACTCCTGGCCTTCAAATAGTGACAAAGTTTTAAAAATATTCAAAACGGTCCGTGGAGCAGGTAGCTTTTCTCAGGGGAGACTCAGGCCAGTTTGTGACCGCTGGCTGTTTCCCAGCTCCATCTGTCCCTGCCCCTGTCCCAGGACTCGGCACAGCTCCCCTCTGCTGGGGCTGCCCTTTCCTGTGTGTCTCTGGTCTGCTTTAAACGCCCCCTCCTCTGGGAAGGGCACCTGCTTCTTCCTGGAGCCCCAGCCCCAGCTCCCAGCCCAGCCCCAGACAAGTCCTGCGCTGACTTTCCCTTGGCAAATGCTGACGCCGAGGAGGAGGTGGGGGGACTCGCAAGTTCCCGTGACGCTGCCCACCCTGCCCACTCTAACTTCTGTGTGACAAAGCGGTGGCCTCACCCTTGTTGGCACAGGACCAGCTCCATGGAGGACAATTTTCCTATTGATGGGGCATGGGGGAGAGAGGATGGTTTTGGGGTGATTCGAAGGGGTGGGGTTCATGCTCCCCACACCCTGCTCATCTGCCAGGCAGAGGAGCTCGGGCATCATGTGAGCCGCAGGGAGCTGCCAAAGTGTGGTGGGGCTTCACTCACCTGCCCAGTGCTCACTCTGCCCTGCGACCTGGTTCCTACAGCAGGCGAGCCAGTCTGTGGGTGGGGGTTAGGGACCCCTGTGACAAAGGATTTCTTTGCCCACCCTTTCCTCTTTTGGGTGGAAGCTCAGGGGACAAAAACTGTACTTGGACCTGACCATCAGCCTCCATCCAGCCATGTGAATGTGTTTAAACTGTGTGGCTTCTGGCAATCAACTTCACCTCTCTGAGTCTCCAAGCGGATGTGAGATGCAAAGGAATGAGAAGGCTCCCAGGGCCGCTGCTCAGAACCCCCGCTATTAGCCTCAGACACTGGATGGACCTGAGAATAACAAGGCACCTGCACTACAGTGGAGTTGGCATCCACGGCTTCTCTTCCAGCCGGGGAAACTGAGGCTCACAGTTAGGAAAGATTCGTCCAACAGAAACACACCAGGGCCGGGAGGGGACGTCACTGGTCCAAGGCCTCAGTGCTGGGATCTGAATCCAGGCAGCCTTGCTCTCAGGCTGGACTTGTGGCACATGACGCCCTGCCTCACAGGCCCAGGTGCAGCGTGGTGCTCTGTGGGGTTGGCCCCCTCTCCCGCTGGAGGAGCACAAAGGCCCTGCCGTTCCCAGCACCTGCGGACTTCCTCATCCTTCTGGCAGGGCTGGTTTCTCCCAGGGGTGGGAGCGGTAGGTCATTCCAGGCAGAAGGGACAGGGTGTGAAAAGGATTCTTGGCAGGCCGATGAGGGCTTTAGGAGGTGTGAAAAATCCAACAACACTGTACTCGGAGGAAGATGGCCAGAAAACAGGGCACACAGAGCTGGAGGGGAAGGGCTGGAGGGCTGCAGCTGCAAAAATCAAAGGGGGCTCAGCCGGATGTGGTGACTCAGGCCTACGATCCCAGCATTCTGGAGGCTGAGGCAGAAGGATCATAAACCCAAGCCCAGCCTAAGCAACTTAGCAACTTACCGAGACCTTGTCTTAAAAAAATTTTTTTAAATGATAAATAAGGGCTGGGGATATAGCACAGGGCAAAGACTCTGGGTTCTGTCTCCAGTACTACAAAAAAGAAAAAGTTGCTGGGTACTAGGCGTAGCGGCCCAGCAGGCCCCCTAGAGTGTGTGGGTCCATCCTATGCCTGGGCTTTTCTGAGGCAGGTCCCCGACTCGCCCCAAACGGAGGAAAGGGCTCTACAGGGAAATGTGGATTTTAACAACTGCCCCAAGTGTCTCTTAGCAACACCCACGATTGAGGTGCCCCTGCCCTGGACAGGAAATGGGCACAGAGAAGGAAATATCAGCTTAGTGGCAGCTGGGCTGGGACAGGCGCGCAACTCAGCGAAGTGGCTCTGGTTCTCAGCACCTGGCCTGCTCCTGTCAGGTGGAGAGGCTGCTCAGAGCTCCAAGTCACCAGGACAGCGAGTGGGGGACATACCACGAGCTGAGACACGGAGGTGGCCACGAGGTCCCTGTCCTCAGGATATTTCCATCCCAGTGAGGAGCGTCTGGAATAAACACTTAGCAAGGGAGGGCTGGGGGGCGCGGTGACCGGAGCGGCTCTGCAGGGCTATTGGCAGGAAGCTTCTCACGGGCTGCGGCCCGGGAAAGATGCGATCAAGTTTATGTTCAGGAGGATGGGCTGGGGGCTCTATCTAGAAGTCGCTGAGTCACCCGAGCAAGTGACAAAAAGCAGACTCGATCCTGGCAGTGACTTCAGAGGGACACATGCTGGCCGGGGGCCGAGTGCGACTCTTGTCGGGCCTGTGGACAGTATCATCAGCGTGGTGGGGACCTTGTAAGAAATGCAGACCCCCAGGCCCGGCCCAGACCTCCTGGACTGGTGACTTTGGGGGGGCTGGGCAGTCTGTCCTTTCACGAGTCCCCCCGGTGACTCCAATGCCAGCACTGGCTTCGATCTCCTGACCTCCAGTGCCAGGTCACAGACATCTCCACTCCACGTGCCTGTCTGTGCGCCCAGCAAATTGGCATTGATATTTATTTCAGAAATATGGTCTGTTTCCATTTTAATAAGGGAAGAGACTACAGCAATACACTATTGGATTTGATTTTGATCTAATAAAAATGCCAAGCTCTGGGCCCGGAAAAAGTCCTCCTTGAAACTCCCTCTGCTATTCTGAGGGCAGACCCGTCTAGACGGAGCTCCCAGAAGCCACCTCTGTGCCTGGCAGGTGACAGCCCCTTCCTGGGCCCAGCTCACCGACACACCTGGCAAAATCAAAAGCTTCTCGCAGGCATTGAACTTGACAGCTGCAATCAGCTGCAAGCCCCAGTCAGCCCTGAAAGGAAGACGCAGACGCCTGGGCCATATGGCAGTGTCGCCTCCATCAAACATCACATCTGATGCGCTCCTGAGCTAGCTGGTGGCACTGCAAAGCCCCGAAGGCAGGTTTCAAAAGCAAACTCTTTCCTTAGGAAAAAAAATGTGGCAGAACGCGTATCACAGAAGCCCAAGGAAAAGCAACTTTGGGCCAGTTAAGATAACCAAGAGCTTATGTGACTGTTTATGTAAAAGTGCTGCTCAGCGGGGAGGTGGCAGGAGACACTCGGCGGTTCAGAGCCAACAGCTGAGCTCCTACTGTGTGCCTCACGCTGCCCCAGACTCTTGGGAAACAGACATGAACAGAATAGGTGAGTGTGCTGTCTGTTCTCATGGGGCCTGCAGGAAGACCGCAGAGCACAGCCAAGTGCGTGCACACGAAAGACAATTCCAGACAGGGACAAGTCCCGTAAAGGGATGGAGGTGACTGGGTTCTGGGGGAGATAAGAGGGAGCCCTTGAAGGAAGTGCCTTTCAGCTGACACTTGTGGATGGGCAGAGTGAGCCATGCAGAGATGTAGAGGGAGAGCATCTTGGCAGAGAGAACAGCAGTGCAAAGGCCACAGAAGGGAGAGAGTTCTGCAGGTGCAGCTATGGGCTGGAGCCGCATGAGAGGGGCGAGAGCCGGGGTGAAGTTGGGGACCTGGGGAGAGCAAACCCAGAGTACGCGGGGAGATCCAAAGCCAGGCTCAATTCTGCCAGCGAGTGGACCAGAGACGTCAGCAGCCAGCACTGCGGGCTCCACGGACACGGAGTGACCCCCTCCCGGGCAGGCTCAGCCCAGCAGCCTCACACGTGGCAAGAGTTTGACACCGCGGGCTCCCTGACAGCCTCCTCCCCCGTCCCTCCTGCTGGCAAGCCGGGCCCTCGCAGGAGCCCAGCAGCTGCTCCACGCGGAAATATTGCAAAACTCGCCCCGGCATTTCCAAAATATTTTCCTGCAGAAAACCCATAACCAGCTAAGAGCCCGAGCTCTGGCGATGGTGTCGTCCTCCGGCCCGCCTGACTGGCTGCTTCTGGGCCCTGGGCTCTTTGAGGACTGAGCCCTGGCCTGGCTGTGCCCAGGGCCTCAGTGCCCTCCCCGGCCCGGCAAGTGGAGCCATTGGCCAGTGCCGTGCCCGCAGCTCGTCCTAGTGCCCCAGGGTGGGAACAGCACCTGGACTCCAAGGCCAGCTCTGCTACTTGCTGGCCAAACGATGTTGGCTAAGCCCTAGCCCGGCCTCCCCGGCCTCTGTCTTCCTGTCTGAAGGGTGGGGCTGCATTTAGGGTTAGATGTAGAGTCCTTGGAGCATAGACAGGGAGGCACAGCCAGAGACATTGGCAGACTGAGCTCCTCTTGGGCTCCTCTCAGGCTGGCTCTGCCATTAGCTCCGGAGTTCGGCCTGGAGAGGGGACCACCTCTGGCCAAGACCCCTGCCGCCCGGCCTCCCCACCCCACCGAGCTGGACGAGGCCCCATGTCTGCGCCACAGAGCCTGCGGCATCCTCATTACAGCCCCGGCCACACACCAGGGACCAGGACCCGCCATATGCATCTCTGTTCCCAGGACCTCATCCTGTTTCCCAGAACTCCAAGCCCGTGAGTTCATGAATGAGCAAGTGACTTTGGTTGGCACCAAGGTGGCCTCTGTGGGAGAGTGGGTTCTTCCTCATTGGCTGGTGTAGACATCTGCAGCACCTCTCTGTCCCTGGGGAAATGTGGCCATGCTGGTGACACCCAGGCACCTGGCATCAGGCACATGGGCAGAGGGGCTCAGCTCTTCTTCCCCCAGAAGCCTGGACCTGAAAAACCTGGGGCAACTGACGGCTTTTGCAGCCCCTGCCCCAGAGCTTTGGGGTCTACCTCCTCCTTTCTCAGCATCCTGGTCCTCCTGGGAGGACCAGGCACAGCTGCCCGGTACAAAGACTCAGCACACAGGCCCCAGCCTCAACTTCCCCACATGAGGAGGGGGTCTGCAGGAGGATGCAGGGAGCAGGGGGCTGGCCCAGCCCATGTGGGGTCCTCATCCCCCAGCTGTCCATGAGTTCACAGCAGCAGGTACCTACAAACGGGCACTTACGGGTGGGGTATCTCTCGTGGCGGCAGTCCAAGCGGAAGTCCTCCTCGCTCCCGTCCCCCTTCTCAATCCTGGAAAGAGAGCAAACCAAAAAACTTCCTAAACAGAATCCCAACTGTACAAGAAATAACACCAAGAAGAATCAACACATGGGATCATCTCAAATTAGAAAATTCCGAGGGCCGCCATCCCACCGCTCCCAGCCCACAGGAGGTGAGCCGCGCGGGTGCCAAGAACACCCCCCACCCCACCCTGTTGAAATGAGAAGACACGTAAACAAGTCTCAAAACCAGACTTCCAGATCACCTACAGCAACCCCAAAGGGAAATGAGACGGAACCCTCTGATACTCAACCACCTGGACTCCCTGAACTGACAACAAAAGAGGATCTGGAAAAAATGAAATCAGAAATAATTTCTCTGATAACAGCAGAGATTGTGCCCATAGTATAAGACATGATTAATAAATCTAGAGAGGACACAGATTAAAAAAAATAGAGGAGCTCAAATTAGAAAATTGCTGCACTGCAAAGGAAACAACGAAACAGAATGAAGAGACAACCCACAGCATGGGAAATTAGCAGTTACTCCTTGGGCAGAGGACTAATATCTAGAATATATAAAGAAATTTAAAAAACCCAAACAACAACAACAAAACCCAGACCCCTCCAAATAACAAATCCAATCCAAAAACTGGGCAAGTGAAATGGATAAGCACATCTTAAAAGAAGCACAAATGGCCAATAAGCACATGAAAAAATGCTCAGATCCCTGGGTGCTACAGAAATACAAAACAATGCTGAGATCCCATCTCACTCCAGGAAGAACTGCCATCATCAAGAAATCAAATAATAACAAGTGCTGGTGAAGCTGTGGGGAAAAAGGAACTCTCTACCTTGCTGGTGGGAGTGTAGACTAGGACAGCCACTATGGAAATCTGTATGAAGATTTCTCAAAAACTAATACTAGAAATTCCATTTGACCCAGCTATTCCTCTTCCAGGTATCTTACAGAAAAAGTTAAAAACATCATATTACAGTGATGCATGCATAGCCATGTTTATAGCAGCAAATTCATAATTAAATCTTGGAAGCATCCTATATGGCCACCAACAGATGAATGAATAAAGAAAATGTGTTTACACACAGTGGAATACTACTCTGCCACAAAAAAGGATAAGTGAGTCATTTTGTAGAAAAATTGATGCACCATGAGACCATAATGTTAAGTGAAATAAATCAGACACACAAGCTTACATGATACCCCAAGTAGAGCAAAGTAGAAGATAGATAACAGGAACAAGGAGATCAGTCTCTTGCAAATGGGAAGAGGACCAGGAGATGGAGGGGAGGAAAGGGAGAGAAAAGAGAAATAAAAAGAGCTAAGATGTGTTATGTGCATGCACCAACATGATGGCTGTAATCATTATGTACTGCAAATATGAACTAGGAACCCCCCAAATGCCACACAGAAAAGGGCAGGCGGAAAAAGTGCAGCCCCTTCATTCTGGGGAGCGGTCGGCAGAGTCACCTTCCACTGCACCCCTGGGGATCTCTGTGCCCTGTAAGCAGGCCGCAATGTCTCCATTTCACTGAGGAACAGACTGAGCATGGAGGGTGGGCAAGGCTGGGAAGGGATGCAAAACCACTGTTCTCACAAAAAGGGGATCCTTGATTGTGCACAAATATGTGGGTGTGCAAACAGCTTGCTTTGTTTTCAGAATTATTTGCACAAAAAACACATCTGTCAGGATCCCTGCGAGAGGGGAGGGGACTGAGTCTGGAGCCTGCACTTTGCCTGAATCTGTTTTCTGATTTGGATGTTTCATTAGCTGCACGTCACTGTTTTTTAGGTTTTTTAGTTTTTTGAGACAGGGTCTCGCTATGTAGCCCAGGCTGGCCTGGACCTCATGGTGATACTCCTGCCTCAGCCTCCCAAGTGCTGGGATGACAAGCATGCAGCCCCATGCCCAGCTCAGCTGTGTGTCACTTCTTAATCACGGTACAACTTCCTAGAGCCAGCTCCATGTACAAACAAGGACCCAGTTGTGTTCCAACCTCTCCTGCGGTGCTTTGCCCCACCAAGGAATGTAGGAGGTTTTTTTCCTTTTTTGTCTTTGTCATACTGGGGTTAGAACTCAGGGACTTCTCACTGAGCTCCATGCCTCTGCCCACCTTTGAAGTTTCGGGACAGGGTTTGCTAAGTTTAACAGAAGTTTGCTAAGACTGAGCTGCCTGGGCTGGGCTCAAACTTGGATCCTCCTGCCTCAGCCTTCAAAAGCTCTGGGATTATAAGCATGGGCTATTTTTTATTTTTATTTTTGTCCTCGAATCGCAACATCTTTCTTATTTTCCTGACAAACCAACAACAATTCCCACACCATAGAAAGAGCAAAAGTCCCCCTCTAGAGACACTTTTGGGTAGCAGTGTGGGGCTTATCTTTCCAGAATTAATATATATTTTTAGATACAAAGAGGCTTGAATTAAATGTACTGTTTTATAATCTGATTTTTTTCATTTACCCAGAGACTTTCAATATTTTTCCAAGTCAGTATGCATACAACTCATTCATCTTTTGGTCCTCATAGCTACCCGTGAGAGTGATTCATATCCAGTACCCTGTTGGGAGAGTTTCTACTCTCCCAACATCGGTGCCTGTGGATCTGGCCAGGTAGGAAGCACCCCATCACCAGAGGTGTTCAAGACTGGAGTGCCTGCAGCCACACAGTGGGGCCTGGCTTCTGACCCTGGCAGGGATAACTGAGCCCCACCCCATCTGCAACACTGCCTGCCTGGCCGTACCCAGCGGGTCTGGGCTGGGGCATGACATGGCTGCCACGCACAAGCCTCCCATATCCTCCTGGGGCTCAGTCCTGAGCCTGAGCCCATTCCTAGGTCAGTCAGGGCCCCCTGAGTCTCCTTGTTTCGAATCCACAGGTTCATGTGCTCCAGACCTTGTGTGGGGACCCTCCTGGGGCTCAGCCCCCAGCCTCCAGCCTGGGAAGAGAGGTGCAATGGCAAAGGGAAACATCTGAGGAGACAGCCATCCCCCCAGTGTGGTACCTACCCTCCCTGGCTACCCTATTGTGTCACCAAGAAGCCCCAAATTGAAGCCAGGTGTGGTGACACATGCCAGTAATCCCAGCACTCTGGGAGGCTGACATAGGAGTAATGCAAGTTCACGCCCAGCCTGGACAACTCAGTGACTTAGCAAGACCCCGTCTCAAAATAAAAAATGAATAAAGAGCCGGGGTTGTAGCTCAGTGCAAAAGCCGTATATATTCAATGCCCAGTAACACACACACATGCACACATGCACACATGCACACATGCACACACGCACACACACATGCACACATGCACACACACACACATACACTCAGGTTCGACAGCTAACAGAACAAATGCCACTCGCCAATTAGCAGGCATCTGGAAGGTCAGGCCTGTGCTGGGCTGGGGCCTCAGGACACTTGAGGCCCTCTCCGGGCAAGTGCGCCCTTGTTTACAGGCACAGACTGGTGGCTTCACGGGCCATGCTGGAAGCTGGGAGGCTGCTCAGAAGGTTGGCAGAGCAGATAGCCATGCAGTCCAGGGTTGGCAGACTTCATCTGCACGGGTCCAAATAGTAAATAGTCAAGGCTTCAGGAGTCTTATTGTCTCTGTCACAGCTGCTCAACTCTGTCCCTGTGGCCCAAACTGCAGATGATCTGGGTGTGGCTGTTGGCGGCAGCAGGAGGCAGATGGATTTGGCTCAAGGGAAGTTTGCATTCACCTGTGGCCAAGCCCCATGGCTCTCAACCTGGCTGAAGTCACCAGAGGCAGATTAAAGTCATCCCTCAGCATTGTAATCGGCGTCCAGGGTTGGGGATGACTATGTGGGACCAGCCTCCTCCAGCTGCCTCCTGAGAGCCACACAGCCTGCAAACCTCTCAAAGAGGGATCCGCCTATCTTTCTGCCATGCTGTGGATTCTGGAAAGAGCTGGTTTCCTTGCACAAAGTTGGTCCTCAATCCACGATTCACCCATGAAAACCCAACTCTTTGGGCTCTGCAAGGTCTGGCAGCTCCCGGGGCAAGGGTGAGCTTGGCAGGGGTGTGGGCAAGGGCTGTCGACCCCTCTATGGCCTTCAGACAGGAGGGCTCCAGCAAGGGGCCGGCAGGGCCAAGGGAGGCTTTGGGCCCTGTGAGTTCTTGGGCCCTGGAGTGAGCAGGAGCTGAGATGAAGCCTAGCTCTGTGACTCCGCAGCTCCTGCCCACTCTGTCACCTCTCTTCCTCTTGTATGTGCCACTGGGATGACAGCAGTGGCTGTAGTATTGAAAGTAACAACCACTAACACCATCGCTTTCATGGACTAAACCTAGTTGTCCAAGGACTAAACTCCAGGTCCTGTCACAGACCAAGGTGTCAAAACATGTTCATACCTCCAGTTTTTAAATGTGCTTAACAGCCAGGTGTGGTGGCCTATGCCTCAGCACTTGGGAGGCCGAAGTAGGAGCATCATGAGTTCAAGGACAGCTTGGGCTACATAGCAAGACTCTGTCTCAAAGAACCAGAAAACCACCACCACCACCACCACCACCACAGCATCTTGCTTAATAGTCTATCTTCCCAATTTCTTTCCAACTCAGAAGGATCGAGCTGGTCTCAGTGTTCAGGGTCTGACAGTGCTTGGCACAAAGTATCTCAAGTAACAAAGAGTCTAGAGTGACAAAGTGTCTCAAGTAATGTAACAAAGTATCCAGAGTAACAAAGTATCCAGAGTAACAAAGTATCCAGAGTAACAAAGTATCTGGAGAAACAAAGT